GCATGATGTTCATAGGCCAAAGTTATGACGTTATCAAAATCCCACTCATTCAGAAATAGGTTGCGCATCTAGCATGTTTAAAAGAGTGGAGGATTCAGTGTCGAGGTTAATTAAAGCAAAAGGTAGATGGTGGCTCAAATGCCTACAAAGGCCTATATTTCACTAACTTCACTATGTGGGATTCTTGATTTTATGTTTTTAAGTAGTATTGTAAGTGAATTTGATAACAGGGTGTTTTACTAAGGAAGACACTGCTTTTCAAATTAAAAAGATTTTACAATGGTTTCTGCCAATTGCCCTTAAAAGATATATTGGGCCTGCTGTCCGTACTTTGGCTTTAAATAAGCAGTAGTCTTAAATTTTATCTTTTCGGGTGCAGTTTACCAAGATTTAAATGCATGGTTTAGACCAACGACGTTAAACATGCAGTACCTTAAATATACTTATTATATTAATCACCCTGAAAAATATACATGTGAATTACCTTAATAGATGCAGTTTACCCAGTTTTTATTATGGGTGCAGTTTACCCAGATTTTATAACGGATACAGTTTACCCTGATATATCTGTGAATGTTTGGGTGCAGTTTACCCAGTTTTTATTATAGGTATAGTTTACCCTGATATATGTGTGAATGTTTGTTTTAAGTGAATTTGGTATAATTAGGAAGACACTGCTTTTCAAAATTATAAAGAGCAACAAAAGGTTCTGCCAATTGCCCTTAAAGATATATTGGGCCGGCAGTCCGACTTTGGCTTTAAATACGCAGTTAGTCTTAAATTTTTATCTTTCGGGTGCAGTTTACCCAGATTTAAATGCATGGTGAGTCCGACGACGGGTTAACATGCAGTAGCTTAAATATACCCACTATATTAATCACCCTGAAAATATTCACGTGAGTTACCTTAATGGGTGCAGTTTACCAAAGATTTTATTATGGTGCAATTTACCCAGATGTTATAACAAGTGCAGTTTACCCTGATATATGTGTGAATGTTTTGTACAATTTTTGTGCAGTTTACCAAAATTTTATTTCTTTAATCTGTTCATTTAAATGGGTGCAGTTTACTCAGACATATTTTTTTTTAATTTGTACATATATGGTGCAGTTGCCCAAATATTTTCATTAGCAGTTAAGTTCGTATAATATTGGGTACAGTTTGCCCAAGATATAATTTTCTTACCTGAAGCGTTTTTGTATCAAAGATGCATAACTATCTGGTGCCGTTTATTCTGATATATGATAGATATTTGGCAATATAGGCGTTTATCTATTCGCCTCAGGGCAAAATTATCTGTTTCTACTTAGTAACTACCTTTAAGATACTCTACATCTTGGACATAAGATAAAGTTATCTTTTGTCCCAGTCTACATTGATACCGATGATATGGTACTGACTATTTATCTGTTTTATATGTGTTAATATACAGGATTTCCAGTGATTCAATTCCAAGCCTGGTTGGTTGGCCCATTTCTGATAAAGGGAGCCTTTCGTCAATTATGCACTCGCCCTGATGGTATTAATATTGGGCTCGACTCTGTTGGTGGATCACTCACGTTGGCATTTTTGGGTGGTATGCGCATACGTGATATTGAGCCCACTATTAATTATCTGTTATCATTTAAAAATCCACCAGAATATTTGCTTGTACATTGCAGTGGGAATGACATTGGGTCTTCCACATCAGCAGTTATCATTGCAGAGTTAAAATCAATATTTGTTCGTCGGGAAAAACTCCTTCCAAACTCTAAATTAATTTGGTCTCAGATTTTGCCCCGTCTGTCTTGGAGATATGTGCCTCTTGTTCTTTTGGCAGAAAAGGCAAGAAAGCGTATTAACAGTGCCATAAGTACATACGCCATAAGAAATGGGGGCCATAATATTAAATATCCTGAACTATCTGTAACTAACCGTGGTTATTTTGCATGCGATGACACTCATTTATCTCCCTCTGGTTACGATTTAATGTTAGATACAATTTCAGAGGCACTTTCCTCATTTTCAAGATTAAACACACCAGTATTTCCAATACAACCGTCATGACTTGGTCGTTGATTTGGTTTATGTTAGCCCGCTGTTGGCGGAAGGTTCTCTCATTGTTTTTCGAGACCCTTTTGGCGATTTTCTAACATAAATGTATAGGTTTTAGCTATCGATGACGAAGCAAAACCTATTATATATAAAAAGTTCTAATTCTATAAACTTAATAATTTTAATGACCAGTCATGACGGAAATTATATGCCAAACCTTTTAATAAAATAAGTTAAACATATGGTTAGTTTATTATCATTATTATTATGATTACAATATGAAATTTGATATTTAAAGTGACTATGTTGAAAAATAATTTTCAGTTAAGCGCTTGAGTTTAAACTATTTATTTTTACACATTATGTCACAGTATTTTTGCAATGACCTGTACATCTGGCTCCTCCTCCAGTATGTCAGTCAGCCTCATTCGCGCATGCTCAGTAGACTGGGTATATAAACTGAGCACGCTCCTGCAAATTTCTTTCTGATCCAGTCTCTGAGGCTCTCAAGCTGTCCCGAAGTAACACGGGATAAAAACCCCACCAACCCTCCCCATTTTGCCTTGTTGTTGTCTCTTTTTCTGTTTTCAGGTATAACTGGCCGCCGCGGTACTTTAAGCACTTCTTCGTCATGACTGGCATTGCCATGGGAACAGTTGACATGGCTACCTAAACATCCCCAGAAATTACCATCGTATGTGTAAGCATAACAACCCTGCATTCTGGACACCTGTGGGATGAACTTTAACTTCATCAAGTCGCGACTTTTTTATTATCAGAAGATTGACTTGTAACTAATTGTAACCGATGACGGTACAATGATCTTTATAAATAATCTATTGTATATACATGCTCCAACTTCAGCAAGTTGCGATTTTTGAAGATCGACTTTTGACTTTTGTAACCGATGATGGTACAATGAACTTGTATAACTTAATCTTTCGTATATATATATATATATGTGAAACAAAGATTACCATTATAACAACATGTCTTTTATTCCAAATTCATTCGGCGATTTTCTAACATAAATGTATAGGTTTTAGCTATCGATGACGAAGCAAAACCTATTATATATAAAAAGTTCTAATTCTATAAACTTAATAATTTTAATGACCAGTCATGACGGAAATTATATGCCAAACCTTTTAATAAAATAAGTTAAACATATGGTTAGTTTATTATCATTATTATTATGATTACAATATGAAATTTGATATTTAAAGTGACTATGTTGAAAAATAAAATTGTTTATTATATCGGTGAAATTTCAGTATCGCTTTTTGCCGCACGCAGAATAACATGCATGTACGAAAATGTTACTTCTATTTCTAAGGAAATAACATAATAATAATGTTAAAAGGAAAACCTTAATGTGAACACAATAACAATCTATATTGCACTGTCTTAGCGTAAAATAAGTATACAATTTGGGAACAAAATGAAGAATATTTTATATTATTATTTAAAATAAGTTGATTCCTTCAGTTTCGGTTTTCTTCTGATGCGTTTTTAGGTCGCCATCAAATTGAAACTAATGTGATTATATTCAGTTGCCATGGTTGTTTTGAAGATTAATGTAACTGACGCAAAGAGCTTAAATTTGACCATTTACTCTCTTTCAATCGCATTTTATCATTTAATTGCTCTGCCAAATAACTTTGGGAAATTAATGCATTATTAAGATTCGCTTTGATACATTTCAGCCAGTGTAAACTATATCATAACATTATAATGTATATAAAATGTGTAGAGTATTTTAGAAAACCAATGTGTACAAAATAATGCAAGAATTTAAAATTATATCAACATAAAAAAGTGCAATAATATTTCTAGAAGTACGGTATGTACTAATCATTTAGTTTCATGTAAATAAAGTATATAAACATGCGGTTTAACTTGACCTTTTGATGATATATTGCATTGTATTTTCAGAATAGCTTAAAAACCAGCCGGTGCTGGGTCGTGTTGTGGGTGCGTTCATTGAACGCCGCCCTTCCTTGATGATCTTGTATTTTTTATATATTCTTTTGAAGAGTGGCTTTATGATATTTTACTCTTCGGAAGTGATGGTATACATTACATTTGAACACTAATATAAATCCAAATAATGGAAAGTCAATCTCTGCCGAGCAGTTATTCCCAGAACAATTACCTAAGTGTAAATAATTAGTACCTCCGTATTATAATTTCAGTTGTGCCAGACATTTTCTGTCTCTTCTGTCATTTTGACAAATACATATGTCTACGCAACACAATATACTCCCAGAAGCGCCATCATTTCCACTTCCTCTGTGTATAATACGTTGTTTTATATATGCCGCAGATTGTCTTTAAAATGGATTTACAGAGCCTTGTAGTCATATACTATTTCCCTAAATTAGGGAATATCTGTATCTCGTTTCATATTCTTCGTTTCAAATGCTTACATATTACTGATAGTGTATATTACCTCTAATATGGATACATCGGCATCTTTTTGTTTTTAAGATTGATTTGTTCTACAGTTGTATTCAATGCTCTTTTTTTTAAGAAAAGTCAATTTTCAATGAATATGTTGAACTACAAAATATTATGTCAGTCTGTAAAATATCTTAAATTGATATTTCCATGATTCCTATCTGATAATATATTGACAATTTAACATATGCCGGTTATGAATAAAAACAACTAATAAATAAAACTTTAAATTCTTTGTTTTTACCTGACTAATAGTAAGATAAAGATTATTAAGTTGAAATATTCACATAATCAGAAATAATACGCAGATATAAATGTAAATCTATATGACTGTATAAAATGTGTAAAAATTTTATTTTGGTTAGAGATAAGCTTTTACAAAATCTTTGTCGTTGTCACTCAGTAAAATATATATCATTCGTCAAATATTGCACTAAAAAGTAAATTTTAAAATTATGATTAAAATTCATAAGAATATTAAATTTCTGTCCAGTTAAACAAATATTTCGATAAACATTTATCAAATAAAAAAATCGAACTAAATTGAGTAAACATTATTGCTGCAGTTGATAAAAATGATTGCGTTATTTTTGTATTTGATTGCTTTTAACATTTCATTCACATGAAAATGCAAACTTTGGAAAATCCATTGCTTCTTTTATATTATACTTACAAGTTCCAGAATTTTCAAAAGATACATGTATAGGATATGCAGTCTTGAACAGGTTTTGTTGACGTATTATAATGGATTGCAACATATTTCTTCAAACAAATTCAATAAACATCACGAATATATAAGAAATTATCGCTATTTGACCAATATACAAATTATAAATTATTTCCATTACATTTTCATGAAATTTTCATATAATTCAGAGTTTTCAGAAATGACACAAGACAAAAGAATAATACAACAGTCTAATTAACACAACATGAGATATTTGACAAAAATATATTAGGTATAGCTTAGTGACAAGTCAATTAACATTAATAAAACATATTGACGCAGGCTATTTCGAAAAAAAATCCATACTTTTAGGTATTTACATAACAGAAATATATCAAGGATTGCCATTATGTCACATAATTATATTGTATTTATTGTTATAATTTTAGTACATTTTGAACTGAAACATCGTCAGTTATCGTATAACTCCATCATATAATGTATAACCATGTGAAAGGCGTTTTAAGCTGAGTCTGGGTTTAGTGTCGGAGTCCAAAGGGATCATACACAACTTGCAAAGTTATAGTCTGAGGATGTTTGTCAGAGATATGTTCCTCACCTTATATTTTGACAACATTAAGCAACTTTCATATGTTGGCATCTTAAAAGCGGGTATCTTACAGAGATATCTCAAATTATGATACGAACGACCAACACAAGTGGTTCCATGGTAGGTTTGTATTCCGATTGACCATATAGCATCATTTACATTTTTCAAATATCTTATTAATTAATTAACATGTTGCTTTGCGAGTTATGAATGTACTCAGTTCACATTGAAGCAAACAGCAACATCTACGGAATGTTATGGACAAATTGTCGGCTGTTCTTTCCTTTCTTGCATTTCTAGTCAAATAAGTCGGCTTAAAACACACCTGCAACTCCGTCTATCTAAAGAGACTTATATCTAACTGGTTTACAATCATGTACTTTTAACACTCTTAAACGAGTATTGTAACGCTTCTGAGTCTATATACACTGTATAACAATAAAACATGTCACACTCTACATAATTGTACCGCTTTAGTTTATGATACAAGAACGTGTAATCCATTTTATCTGCATTAAACTTTAGTTGGTATCAGTCATATCTTGATACTCGAGTAGAAAAAATCCAAAGCTTATATAGTCGATGAGGGACGCAACTATTGCAAGGATGAAGGCCCAGCCTATTTCATAAAAACCAGATATAATTATCCCTTTTAGAAAATATTTGAACATTTCATCATCGTCTTCTTTCAGCTCGAGGAGATACTCCCGTCCCTTTATTCCCATCACTATAACAGCAATTGTTATCATACAAGCTGAAAGAAAACAAACTGAAGTATGAAATTAAATCTCTTGTTAACATTAAAATGAACAGTTTTTAACACCCGGGGTTAGCCAAAATAACGGTCCCTATTTCAGCGCAACGTGAACTAAACTATGTTTGGTGCCGTAAACCCAAACTAAAAAGATATTACAATGAACTTTTAATCTTAGCTTATGCCGACAAAATTCGTGAAATTAAAGTTATATGAGATCTATCTGTTCATCAGACGCATTCTTGATCGGACTTTTAATCACTTCATATAATTTCGATGATTCGCTGAACAAGAAGCATTGAGTTATTTATGGTCGACTAGTATCATTTATCACGGAAGGTACAGTCATAGTCGTGTGTCGCAAAATTTACATGTTTCGTATCATTGATACTGATTGTACTAATGTTCAAAGTTTAATTAGCACTCTGGTGATTTTGAACCCGATCAGTCATCATGAACATCTAAATGTTCTAATGTTTCATGTCAGAATCGCACAGCATATATAGATTTATCTGGAATTGTGATTTGATTCAATATCAGAGATCATTGGTAACGGAGGAACGGAGGAATTTTGTACCGTCTGAGGATTAAACCAGCAAACTATGAATTAGAAACCAGATGCTCTTCCTGCTGAGCTAAGGGGACGAGCGTTATATCATATACTGACTGGTTAAATGGCTTGCAATATGACATGTTAATTATCATGAAATTACATTCGCTTAACCATGCCTGCACTTGTTCATTATCCTCTTGTACGGATTCAATCAAACCGATTCTTCCATTTTCATGTAATTTTTGTTTTTCATGCGTCCGAGGGATCACGTTTTTACCAGATATTTGGGTATTTCAAAAGTGTGAAACCATTATTACAACATTATGTACATAGTCATGCCAACAATAATGATGTAATAAAGATATTGATAGATGAAAGAATCCCTAGCATATTTTAGGAGAAATTTCACACAAACTGTTAGATGGCGTGTAAATGACTTCTGTCACGCGACAATAAAGGCAGATTGAATTTAAACGTTTCCTCAAGTTGGTTTATTATCCTTTGTATTCATAAATATTTCATTATTCACCCATAGATTACAATTGCTGGGCAATAAAAACTGTTTTGGCGTTTTTTATAATAATAATTACAAAACAAATGAATCGTGAAAAGATTGAGAATATTTTTTCTTCATCTTTTTCAATTTGCGTTATGTGGTTGTCTGATCAAAGCTTTTCTGTACTACATGTAGTACTAACAATCCTATAATTCAATTACACACAGCAGCAATTTTTCATGGGAAAATTCATGTTAGCTTTCCATGAATTTGGCGGGTTAATTTTTCTACGATCTTTTATTTTTACACCAAAGAATTTTGCTTATTCCAATGTCAATTTGAGTAAATAAATAGGAAAACACTCTTTACCACCTAACAAAGGTATTTGTAGAATATTCTTAGTTTTTATCGGATTGCAAAATGCTTTTTTCTATAAATATTAAACATCAAGTAACATAAGAAATGAAGGCCGTTTGGTAATGTTGCCCTGTGTGATAACGGATTGATTTTTTTCTGACGTCAAATAATATTATGTAGAAAACAAACACGTGTGATATATATAATAATGTACATTACTATCTTGTGTTTTACTTAGTGAGACAAAGATGCAACAATCATTTTTTATTAACTTGCACAAAAATTAGATTTAAATTTACATATACATGTATATACATCGATATTCGGCCAGCCGATGGCCAACAAAAAACAACGTGTTCTTCTATTTTAACAATAAGCACCTAGCATGATTTTACGTGAATCGTTGTCGGCTTTATTTGGTGGCATTCATTTAATTATTGACATCAAATTTGTTCTCACAAAAGTACAATACGTACGGTTGCACTTTAAAAAGTGAACAAATATAACGTAATTTGACCTTCATGAAAAACAGAATATCACATAATTATGCATGTTTCTTTAAATCGGCACGACCAACACTATTTCATATCGGAATTGTGACCTCAGTTAAGGATTTAGCATGTGTGATAAGAGATCAGCAAATGTTATGCACACAGAATATTGACAGATATTTGTGGGCTGTTAACGGATCCGACACGTTGGGTACACTTTTAATCAAACACGAAATGAATAATCTTTTAATCACGTTAGGTCTCTGTATTGTCTGGCCTTTTCTTTATTTCTTGTTGTTGTTCTTGTTGTTAACCCATGTCATAAAATGTATGTAATATAGAAATATACTGAATATATCCGTATATATGAAAACGCTACGTCGATTATTTTTATATATCTATTAAAAGCATTATGTAAACTTGTATAGATAAAAACTGATTTTTGTTTATTTCAAAATTTAAAAATAAATCTCAATATTAAATCTCATTTATGAAAACAATTTTACATTTTATGAATAAATATATGTAACTACTAAAAGAAAACTTAATATCCGATCATTATACGCTAAAAAAACTTAAATAAAATGAAAGTTGTTTTTATAAAAGTAAAATAATTTTCAAGATCGTTTAAGAACTGGATACATGCCTTGACCAATCATTTTTTTTAAACTTTAAAATCATTTCGACAGAAAGTTTGCAAATTGCTTCCAAAATAAAAAAAAAAACGTTGCAACGCTTTTCACTAACATCGCATGGAAAATGAATAATGATTATTTATTAAATACCGGGTATATTTATATATTATCTATTGCATACTTTTACCATCTTAAGTGCAAAAATTGTTTTATGAAAGTTCAGTTTGTTTTATTTTAAGTTATTTGACCTCAATGTAGTTCCTTTAACACTATTCACTAAATGTGTAAAGTATAAAAGGAAATCGACACTTGTCCTGACATTCAGGTGTTTTGTCTTTAGCCATCTAAACATGAAAAGACACTCGTGTTATTTACTTAAGATAATTGAACTTTTCAGTTTGAACTGATTAAACTGATTTGAATCAAAAAGCTAACCGGATGTAAATGTCAACAATGATAAAACGATGAGCGCCAATTTAGATCTGTGTAGACATCTTAGAACAAAGGCAGCAATTAGTATTAGGCATACAATACAACATAACAGGGAAATTATGCAAAACACCTGCGCTAATCGAACAAAACCTGAAAAAGAGGTTGATTCAAAAAGATCCTTCAATATAACCACAAACGTTTTTAGGCCCCTACCGGTTTAACCGGAGGGAACTTGAGGTTTACCCTACGACCGCCTGTCCGTCTGTCTGTCTGTCCGTCCGTCCACAAAACTGGATCCTGCGATAATGCAAAAAGTACTAAAAATATTTTTTATGAAACTTGATATATGGATAGATGGCAGTATTGAGACTATGCACGTCCTTTTCATTTCTTCCTCTGTTGAAAATTCTGGTTGCTATGGAACAAATAGACTGAAAATGTGGCAAATTTTACGGATAAACTGGATCCAGTGATAACGCAAAAAGTACTGGGAATATTTAAATGAAACTTGAAATATGTGTAGATGGCAGCCTGTAGATTATCCAAGTCATTTTTCTTTTATTCCTATATTGAAAATTCTGGTTGCTATGGCAACAAATAGACTAAAAATATGGCAAATTTTACACATAAACTGGGTCCAGTGATAACGCAAAAAGTGCTGGGAATATTTAAATGAAACTTGAAATATGGGTAGATAGCAGTCTGGAGATTATGCACGTCGTTTTTCTTTTCTTCTTATGTTGAAAATTCTTGTTGCTATGGCAACAAATAGACTAAAATATGGCAAATTTTGTCCAGTGATAACGCAAAAAGTACCTGGAATATTTAAATGAAACTTAAAATATTGGTAGAAAGCAGTCTGGAGATTATGCACGTCTTTTTCTTTTCTTCTTATGTTGAGAATATTCAGATTGCTATGACAACAAACAGACTGTCAATATGGCAAATTAAACACATAAACTGGATCTAGTGATTATACAAAAAGTACTAAAATATTTTTATGAAACTTGACATATTGGTAGATGGCAGTCTGGAGATTATGCATGTTTTATTCTTTTCTTCCTATATTGAAAGAATTGGTCGCCATGACAACAAATAGGCTCAAGACATTGCAAATATAACAATATATATGATTATTTAAAAAGAGCTGAACATTTTTATCAAACTTAAAGTATGGATGGATGGCAGTATTGAAATTATACACATCATTTTAATCTTGACTATAGGGAGTATATAGAGAGCTGTCATACTTCGTCGGCAACCTTGCCAAGATTTCTGATTCTAGTTTTTATGCTTTTTCACTAAAAGTTCTTTATTTCTTAAGGTATTTACTTCAAACTTTAAATATAAACTTCTGGTCATCAAACACATCATATGTGACAAGGTTTACAACTCTAGCACAAAAATTATCAAAATTTACTCCCTTGAACTTAGACTTTTCATAAAAAAATGTTTTAATTTTTAATAACATCTTTATTACTTAATGTTTCTACTCCAAACTTCACATAATATTCATAAAATGTTTCTGCATAATTTTTTAAGATTCACAACTGTATGATTGCCTTTGATGCAACTGTGTAGTCTCTTTAAATAAAGACTTTAGTAGTAGTAGTAGTAGTAGTAGTAGTAGTAGTAGTAGTTAGTAGTAGTTAGTAGTAGTAGTAGTAGTAGTAGTAGTAGTAGTTAGTAGTAGTTAGTAGTAGTTAGTAGTAGTTAGTAGTAGTTAGTAGTAGTTAGTAGTAGTTAGTAGTAGTTAGTAGTAGTAGTAGTTAGTAGTATTTAGTAGTAGTAGTTAGTAGTAGTAGTTAGTAGTAGTTAGTAGTAGTTATGAGCAGTTAGTAGTAGTCAGTAGTAGTCAGTAGTAGTCAGTAGTAGTTAGTAGTAGTAAGTAGTAGTTAGTAGTAGTTAGTAGTAGTAATTAGTAGTAGTTAGTAGTAATAGTAGTAGTAGTTAGTAGTAGTAGTAGTAGTAGTAGTAGTAGTAGTAGTAGTAGTAGTAGTAGTAGTTAGTAGTAGTTAGTAGTAGTTAGTAGTAGTTAGTATAGTAGTTAGTAGTAGTTAGTAGTAGTAAGTATAGTAGTTAGTAGTAGTTAGTAGTAGTTAGTAGTAGTTAGTAGTAGTAGTAGTAGTAGTAGTAGTAGTTAGTAGTAGTTAGTAGTAGTTAGTAGTAGTAGTAGTTAGTAGTAGTTAGTAGTAGTAAGTAGTAGTTAGTAGTAGTAGTTAGTAGTAGTTAGAAGTAGTAGTAGTTAGTAGTAGTTAGTAGTAGTAGTAGTTAGTAGTAGTTAGTAGTAGTTAGTAGTAGAGAAGGTTCAATTCTCTAGCAAGACTATTTCCAGAATTATGTCCCCCTTGAACTTAGATTTTTTTTCGAAAAATTGGTACATTTCATTCCAACTTCTTCATTACTTAGGATTTACTTCAAACTCCCACATTATAATAATATGACAATGTTTATGAATCTAGCATCCATATTTCCATAGTTATCGTCTCCTTAAACTTTTCTTTTTTATTTTTTCATTCTTTTAACTTTCTTATTTCTTCATGGATTTACTTCAAATTCAAAATAAACATTCGTAATCAACACTTACATTACTCATTGTTCTTTGTTACACTTACATCATGTATGGCAATGTTCATAAGTCTTCCATCTTTATTTCAAGAGTTATCTCCTCTTTAAGAATTTTTCTTTTAAAAAATGTTATATTTTGATAACAGGGATGATTAAAAAATAATTTTAGAGTGTCCTTCAGTCCACCTGTCTGTCTGTTCATAAATACTGTTTCTTGTGATAACTTTTAAAGATCTTTTCTAACAAATTTACTTAAAATAGAAAAAACTTGAAACATTAGTGAACGGCCAATGGCCCTTCAAAATGTTTCTGGGGTTCTTACCGGTAGGGGACTAATGGATTGCTTGCAATACTTTGATAATTGCTTCAAAAAAGCTGTTTAGTTTTACAAAATATCTAAAAGCAATTTTACTTCAAATTTCAAATTCATTTTTTTCTTTCTTTTTTTTTTTTTGCCATTCTATATAAAAAACACCGATGTTAGAATTGTTACCCGGTATTTCATGCCATGAGTTACAGAACCAAGATTTATCAACATGGTGTCTGTAACAAACTTTCCACAATGATATAGTTACTCCTCCATCCAGCCCTTGCCAAGATGTGCTTGATATTGATACAAGAAATAGAACTATTCCGAGAGCAAACGTTGTTACTGCAATAACCAGGAAAAACGAATCTGCCATTATCTTACGCTACTTCCGGTTCCGATGTTGTCTGTAAAACGATGTCGTTGGCATCGTTTGGCTGAAAATAAAATCGGTTGATTTGAACATAGACGCCGTTATATCAATGTTAACATTTAAAATAATTATTTAACCTCATCTGTATCTGATAAAGTATTGATTTAATATTATCAGACGCTAACGCTCTAATGTCATCAACATTTCAACAAATACCATCAATCCTTTTTGATTCTACTCTCGCTGCATTGTTTAACGCTTGTTTGATATCGGCATATATTCATCACATAAATTCTGTAGTGAAATTTCTTTTTGCGCTGTAGACCCATTCACAATCCCGTGACAACGGAAATGGTTTCTATCTCGCTGCGGGTGTTCGGATTTCTCTCCCTGAATTAGCTGAGAGTTTTCAATATGGAAAAATCAATAAGTAGCTGTGTCATTATCTCTCAAAGAAAACAGTTTTCGATTATAAGACTATTTATGGGATAAAATTTTGGAATTTACTTTTAGAACCGTAATTTAGCGCAATACTTAATGGTCGTTCGAATAACATATAAAGCTTTACATATAGATTTTGTCGAGAATATAATATCTTCAAAACAAGCTAAATAAACCCCCTAAAGTGATCATTTATTTTGATCAGTTAATGCTTGTAGGATATGTTATTTAAAATCAAATAGATTATAGGTGGGCTACTACCTTGCAATATGGCATATTCTATAAAAGATTAATCCTAAAAAGAATAGTACATTCTTGTTGCATTAAAACTATAAGATAAAAATTATATGATAAGTTACAGTAAATAATTAGTACAGAGATATAAAAGGAATAGCGTTAAAGGTTAGATGAATGATGGTCCGGGTACAAGTTTAGATTTACATATAATGTATAGATCCCTGACCTACCTAATTCTAATTATCAGATTAGTGGATACAATCAGAATGTTACCTCAACATATTTGTTGACAAAAGAGCACATGTCAATGTTTGTGGGTAAAGATCCTGTATGTTGTGATCAAAGTGGTAAACCACACTTAGTGAAATTATATATATGTACATAATTAAACTGCAAATATTTGCGCATATTATATGTAATCATTAAAATATATGCATTCATTTCTTATTGTAAAATTAGACTTAAACTTTATAGAAAATAAATTTTTATTGCCTTCTTTTAGTTACATAAAATGTTTAATTCTGTAATATCTTTATAGATAATGCTTTTTGGAACCTACAATATTGATAAATCTTATTTATGATTCAAAACCATAAAAAATTGTGTTACAGGATCTTTAAATATTTTGTTATTCAAATAAAAGGTCAGAGTAAGGATCTATCAGTTATCTGTTACGATCTAACTAGTTCTACTTTAAACTATTATTGTGTGTATCCGGTTAGAAATCAAGCAATAAAAACTGAATAACTTACTAAGTGTTTGTTCAAAGATTAAACAATAATGTGTCACAAAAACATCACAGTTTTAAAATATTCATTACCGCATTAACCACCCTGATGTTTTTCTGTTGAATTATTTCGTTCTAAACTAAACAAGCAATGAATATCAAACAATGCATTGTCAACATTTAAGCTGATAGAATGATAATAACAAATTATGTATTTCCAGCATCGAATGGCATTGGAATTACAAATGAGTAAATGATATGTATTTATGAGACTTAAGCGCACAGTCTATTTATTTTATTCAAATTAAGGAAAACGAAAACATTTATTTCTTCTAGAGACATTTTAGGCGGAAATCCAATAAAGACAAAAGAAGCTTACGTTGACATTACTTTGATTGATTTATTTACTTTGGAGAAATGCTGTTCTAATTCATGAAGGTGCCAAAAGTGCATAGGTTACATATTGTTTCTAGAGTGTATCAGCTGTAATACGTTTTTGTCTTAATATATAAATCAGTGAGTGCACAAAAACTTCAATAATGCGTGATAAAAGTTTCACTACCTTAATTAAGGTTACGTGAGGTTTTGTCAGCTTTTAATAGGAGTAGCCTAAGGTTTCTCTTATATTTCTTTTTTACGACTTTCATGTATGTCAACTGAGGACTGTAATAGTTACCCATGTTTCTGAAAACCGAATAACAGAAATATGTGACCAATCTAAGAATTTGTAAGCTGATGACTGTGCTTTTTGTAAACCTTTTAAATGCGGAACCTATCTGAAAATATCATTTTCAACAAAAAAGCTGACTTAATTCTGGTCATTTAATGTTAAATCATAGTGACTAACACTGTATTAATAAATGAACCTGAAAAAGTGACCCTTAACATCTAAACTTAACCCTTGGGTTAAAGGTCATCAAGTTAAAATTTTATCTACTCAGAAAAGAATCTACAGATTTACAGTAGCACTAACTGATACTTTTATACATTACACAAATACATGTAAATATTCTTCCACCAATCTATATACTGGTGGTTTGTGTGAAGTATCTGTTTCCGTTAAATCTAAATAACCTAACAATAAAACAAATAACGACCAAAGTACTGATCTCTATCAATTCACTTACTTTGTTTGATTTTGGACAATATAACAAAGCGTGTACATAAGGGATTTGAACTAACTTTGTCATTACTTTATATGCATTGTGAATTTCATATAATCTTATTTACATGTACTTATTTTTAATAGTTTTTGTAATATCGAAGATATCATTGATTGTTGAAGCAATTTACATGATGTAAAGTAACTATTTTTAAGTCTTACACTTTATCCATATTACCTATTAATAGTAAAATACTGTATGTAGTTTAATGCAAAATAAAATAGAGTTGCATTAAATATTATCTTAGATGACTTTTTGCGCAATTACGCATTATACTTTGGACATTATTTTATACAGTTATAAATATACTTATCAAAGATTATGTTTCTAAGATAAGATGAAAGTAGTTTCCCTAATGGAACCCTCAACAGGAATATTATTTAAGTATTATTTTCTGCTTATATAGAAATATATCTTCCTCGGTAAGAAAAAATGTTGAAACCTGTAATATTAGAACAGAAAAGAACATATAATAGATTATGGTTTCTTGGTTTGGTTAATATACTTATGATGTACGAAAAAAATATCTATGTGCAAATAGCTTATTTCTATAAAGATATATTTAACAGCACATTTCTTTATTTTGAAGTCACATTTCAATGAATTTAAACATATTTGTCAATGTTTAATTTTTTTTTTCGTGTATCAGTATGACAAGTCAACACTAAAATAAAATTACCATCGACCTCTACATCATATTAACTATAATGTAATAATAATAATGATGATAATAATGATAATAATAGAAAATACAAGTAACACCTTTCACTTCTAACAGTGCTGTATATATTATATCCCCTAGTCTATACATGAACTTGCAATTAATGAAAATATGTTGCTATTATTGCATGATATTTTATAATAGCTTGGGAAAAGATTATCAACATAATTTTCATATATAATAAACATTTTACATGATTATACAGATATAAAACAGGAGTTTTCATTTTATATTATATAAACAATGTAACTGTACGCTTTGTTTAAATGTGTAGGTACGTAAGTATTTAAAGTAATAATACAAATAAAAGCACTTACAAAAAAAGAGCTATACATTCAAATACATTTAGTAAATCGGACAAATATGCATGTATTTTTGTCTTGTAACTAAAACGTTAAAAATAACAACAAGGTATGAAAATAACTTATACCTTATGCGAACAAAAGCAACTAGTTATTCCTTGGTAAATATCAATATATTTGGACACTGTCGTGAAGAAAATAAAGGCCATACAGTGTGTTAGATTATTGATGTTTTATCGGATGTTGGGGGCGTTAGAGATGTTAATTTAATCCTTTAGAAGTAAAGGCGGATATGTACTTATAATTTTAGTTTTTTATCTTTAAAGTACAAAAATAATAATGTTTGTTTTACAGTTTAATAGAGAAGAAAGAATTATACCCCTGCGTAATACTAGGGATGAACTATTTAGTACTTATATGTACTATGCTGTAGTAAGAAATGCCCAAAATAAATCACTGATTTTTGCAGAAATAGACATGTATTTTTAAGGGTAGCTAAAAGTAACTTTCCCGTCAGCTCTTTATTTTCCTTATTTATATGTTTAACGGGACATAAATGCATCGGACCGACAATCAATTTGAAACTGCCATTTTGTTGTATAATATTGAAGACCCGATCTTAAAGATGCCTTGTTGACCACAGTATAGAAACAAACCAATATATCCCATTTTTATTATGCGTTCAATATAGGTCTTTACACAAAACGCTGAAGAAAAGAAAATACAAAAATACACTTATGTATGTTAACTTAGTAATTTAAATTTACTCGTGGCGTGGATTTCTAGTAGAGTCATACGTACAATCTGTATAACATAACTACATATTATGTATTAAAAGAATTTATTGTATTTAGTTTAAGAGCATCGTTTCTATGGTCGCTGAAGAGTAACAAAAATGAATGTTACATATAGAGGATATTTGTTTGTTTATGTGTAAGATGAAATTTTATTTCATCGAGCGGGCTTTAAAAACAGTATTCTCACGAGGTGAAATAAAATTACATACTACACAACAACTTTTCTTTTTATTTTATGCTTAAAAAACAAGTTAGTTTAAACATATTTATTCTCAGAATATGTACATAATAACATTTGAAATATATACACATACAAAATTTGACAATATTCAAAGAAGAGGATTAGAATGAAAGACTAGGTCTTATATAATTCTTCTCCGTTTAGTTGTTAAATATATCGGTGTCGAACTGGTGATCTAAAATTTTCTGAGAAAAATATATATTACCAAATGTATAATAGAAACAAATATATATGGAGTATGAAAGAAGTAGTAATTCAAAAGAGAAAAAGGGGAAGGAGAGTCTCATAATTATTTGTTATGTGTTAAATCGTTAAAGGAATCTTTTAGTTTTTGCTATAAAAGACTGCACGTTAGAGAATATTGTTGAATTATCATCATCTGATAGGCCGGGGTTTCCGAAGAGAAGAATATCGAGATTTATATCAAAAGCTTGAATATTAATAAATAATTCATTTCGGTACAAGTTGTAGCGATAACATTCAAAGAAGAAGTGATAGTTGCTTTCGACTTGACCACATTCACATAAAGGTGAGGGTGATATGTTTCTTAGAAAAAGATGATAATTTAAAGAACTGCATTTTGTGCGAAGACGTGTATGGAGAACCTGTAATTTTCTGTTACCAGAGTAGTAGTATTTAGGTGTGCATTTTCTGTTACATGCTAAATAGTTCTTGAATGATGAAAGTGTTGGTAAGTTCGGAACTTCGGTTTGTAAGTTGTTCCAATCGCGTATAGTAGAGGGAAGAAAGGAGTTGTAGTATAAAGAAGTTCGCGCATATATTCCGGCAGTATCATCAGAGTTACGTAAATTATACCTTGTATTAGTTTGATCAGGAATTAAGGAAGAGAGAAAGTCGGGAGTCAAATTGTTATTGCATTTTATAAAACAAAATTAATCGGTGATTATACCGTCTTTGTTCTAATGTTTCCCAATTAAGTTTTTGAATTAGGTATTCGATAGAAACTAATCTTGTCGCACCTGAAGCAATCCTAGCACATTCATTCTGAATCTTATCTAAGCTTTCGAGTTCATATTGAAAAGCATTTCCCCAAATGACGTCTGCGTATTCAAGAATAGGACGAATGAATGAAGTGTAAATTATCTCAAGAGATTTTCTGTCCAAAGAATATTTCAACTTTCGCATTATATTGACGCGCTTCCAAGCCTTTTCGGTTATATATTCAATGTGTGAATGCCAATTACAGTTATTAGAGAGAATAGTTCCTAGGTGTTTATGATCGTTAACTTCTGGTATATTTTGATTGAGCATATATAAAGAAGGGTGGTTTGCGTTATGTTTTCTAGATACAATAAGTGATTCTGTCTTTGAAGGGTTGAATGTGACAAGCCAATTATCTGCCCATGTTGTGATTGTCTGTATATCTGTTTGTAACTGTTGAGCTGCGACTAGTGGATTTTCTATGACAATATAGAGACTTGTATCATCAGCAAAAAGGTTGACAGATGATTGGAGATCTAGAACAATATCATTTATGAAAATAAGGAATAGCAGAGGGCCAAGAATAGAACCTTGTGGTACTCCAGCTGAAAGAGTACCCCAAGATGATTTTGAATTAGATATAACTACACGTTGACGCCTATTAGTGAGATAGTTAGAAAACCATTCGAGGAGGCTGCCGGAAACACCAGCATATTTGAGTTTTGAAAGTATACCTTTATGCCAGACTTTATCGAACGCTTTACTGATATCAAAGAAAATAACCCCAGCTTCTAGACCATTGTCAAGTGCTTTGCACAGTGTATCATAGATAAAAACAAGTTGATTAACAGTAGAGTCGCCAGGAATAAAGCCGGATTGAACAGGAGTAAGAAAGTTGTTAGCTTGGAGATGGTTGAAAAGATGTTTGAATATTAGCCGCTCAAAAACTTTTTCAATTGTATTAAGAAGAGAGATAGGGCGGTAATTATTTGGAAGAGAGGAGTCACCTTTTTTAAAAATTGCAGATACATGGGCTACGTTCCATGTCGATGGTACTTTACGACGAAGAAGTGAGGCATTAAACAAATCACAAAGAGGTTGAGAGAGTTCATGTGACGCTTCGCGTAGAATTCTATTACTTATACCATCAGGACCGGATGCTTTTTCAAGATTTAATGATGTTAGGACATTTTCTGTTTCAGTTTCAGTTAGTGTAATTTTAGATAGTGAAGTTGTTGTCATTGATGGACCAAGATCAGGTACATGATTATTTGAATCTTCAATGAGTGTTTGTTTAATAAAATAGTCGTTTAATAAATTTGCTTTGTTTTCATCTGTAAAGTTTAGTTCGAGTGTTTCTGGATTTTGTAATGGGGGTATTGGAGTTATTTGTTTGATGATATAAATGATTTTAACGTTTTCCACCAGTCTTTAGACGATAATGATCCTCTTTTGAGTTTATCCGATAATTTGCAATAATAATTTGATTTAGCTTCGCGAATTAATAAAATAGTTTCATTTCTAAGTTGTCGGAATTTTTGCCAATGATGTAAAGACTGTGTTTGTTTTGCTTTTCTGTAAATGCGTTTTCGTTTTCTAATGTGGCTTCTTACTGTACTAGTCATCCATGGAGCATCTGATGATCTAACATGTATTTGTTTATTTGGTATATTAATTTTTGCAATATTTATGATCTGATTTGTTATATTGTCCGCATATGTGTCTATATCTGCGTGAGTGCATGTATGCCAGTTATAATTTAGTAAATCTTGTCGGAGTTTATCAAAGTCACCTCGATTGTATTCCCATATAGTTCGTTGAAATCCACGTTGAGAGGGTTTTCTAAATTTGAGAAGACAAAAAACTGGGAGATGGAATCGATGTTCTTGTTGAGAAAGTGTTCACCAACACCAGCTTTACGATGTTATTTATATTAGTTACAAATATGAGATCTATTAATGATTGTGATGTTTCGGTAAAGTGAGTAGGTTCGTCAATAAGTTGACTCATATTAAATTGTTGTGTAATTGAATTGATTTTTCTGTTTGAAGTTATGGTTAATGCATCATAATTGAGGTCACCTGTAAGGATAATGTCAGAAATATTTGTATCGATAGCAAGGGCGATTGAGTCTTCAACCTTATTACTGTAATTTGCATCGGCATTAGGAGTTCGATAAAATAGACCGAAGAGTACATGTTTGTTATTTTCAGGAATCAATTCAATCCAGATACACTCCAAGTTATTAAGTTCTAAATTGTAATGTCTCTTATAATGCAGATTTTCTCGAACATAGAGGATAACTCCGCCATGAGAAAAACAAGTTACAACTAAATTTCCTTAATATTAACGTTAATATTAAAATCTGTTTTCCCATTGAGAGCCTCATTTAGTCGAATTTCTCATTAAATACAAGAAAGTATTGGACTGAAAAAATAAGTTCGACAATCAACGTTAAATGGCAGTGATATTATTCATTTTATTAAAAAAAATATAAATAATCGCTTGTTAAAATAATAAAAGCAAACAATTCCAACCATCCATCCATATTTCTGTTACTTACTGCGAATTTATATTAGACCTGGCTCTGTTAAATGTAAGCGGCCGCTATTTTTAAAAGTTGTGTATTTCACGACATGAAAATAAATTTGTTTGATTCAGAGGGATATCATTTGGATTTTTTAGTCATACACCTTTTTAAAAGTAAGAAAACTTATTTGAGGATTGTAACAGACAATAAATAAGTGTTGACAGATGTGTAAATATTCAAAAAGCGGCTAAGAAATTGGAAGACTTGAAAGGATACCTTACGAACGCTGGGTTGTTTACTTATTCTTCGGGCTGATGGCTGTCATTGCTTTTCAAGTTTTCATAAAGCATACGGCAGTTATTGCTCGTAGGATACTTACATGAAAAATATGCCCAAATGCCATCAAGAGCTGATTTGCATGTGGAGTAATGTATTTTTCAGACTGTAAAAATGAAACAAAAAAATTAAGAAACGCTATTTGGTGATTTGTAATTTGAATGAATGAATTAAAGTAAGTTTTCTACTTTTTATTACTTTTGACATTTAAGTTATTTATCAATTTCAGTTTTGCTTTCCTCTAAACAGGCTGACATTGTCAGAATTGTCAGCAAAAATAAAATTGAGGTACCACATGGGGAAAATCTTAAAAAAGTAGTTTTGTCATTGAAAAGTGTGAAATTATAATTTTCACT